CTTTTTTTAATACTCAAACACGTACATATTTTTATGATCATTTTTCAAATATGTGTAGTGTGTACTTCCATTCATCAGTTAAAGTTTTGTTTCAATATTAAATTTTAAGTTTAAACATGAAATTGACTTCACGAAGAGTAAAATTTTTTATTTTTTTTTTAAGCATTAACATTAGGTTACCTGCGTTATACCTACATATGAAGATCAAAACTTTAGTAATTAAAACTTTAACCCTTTTAGTATACCCCAAGAGATTTGTTTTATTGATATCTATATTTTAAATATAAGAATTTTACCATGTTTTTTTTATTTATAAGTTATGGAAAATATCRGTACAGGTATAGTAAAATAATTTTTATTATTCTTGAATGTGAATGTAGTTTTAAAACTGAAATAAACGTTCAACCATTATTTTCACCCTTCAAATGACTATATAATGCCCACAGGCTGTACCCTTAGTAAATCTCGAGGAAGTAGATTTTTTTTTAAGTTTTTTTTTTTTTTTGGTCACCCTCTTTCTTTATTTAAGACCCACCATGAGTTTCCATTGTCCTACAGGAAAAAACTTTTTTTCTTCGAAGTAAAGACGGAAACGAAACCCTTGTCCCTCGTTAAGTTTGAGTAGCGAAGTGGAAAAATTATTTTGACAGTCGAGACGCGCTCTAAATACATTTCCCCCTCAACGCAAGAACTTTATTATAATAGAGATACAAAACAAAAACTTTCGTTTCGAAAATATACACAAACGAATACACAAGAAGAAATAATAAAACTTAACAGTGAAAGTTTAACTTTATTTTATTAGTTCATGTATATAGAAAAAACAATTATAGACATTAAAATGAAAAAAAAAATAGCAATCACATACATTTATATAAAACAATAGGTATATAGTTGTAAGATTTAACGTTATATCGGGAAATTTTAACTTTGTACCAGCAAATATTGGCCATATCATAATTTGTATAATAATAAACTGTGAACTATTTTACGGCAACTAACAAATTTTTTTTTTATTAACCTCCAAGCGGAGTGACAAACTAAACGGACACCCTACTTTACAGGAAAAAGTGAAAAAAAAATTAATAATAATAAGCAAAATACGCACTATATGATATACCTATATAAACTATGTACGATCCAAGCCCTCTCAACGCTATAGTACCTATATATATTATTCTTTAACAATATAATAATTACGATGGAGATGACAATAAGAATGATAATAATGTACAATATATTGTAATTATCAAGACTATTATCGTTATATATATCATAATTTAGTCGAGATACAAGCTAGACTAGACGACATTGTGTGAACAGAGCATATAATATATACGTTACGCTTCGTTTAGAAAAGTAGGTATCTATAATAACCATAATATGTATACATAATATACCTATAAACTTTAKGTGGTCTAAGGTTTGTCACGATATTGAGGCGTACGCGTTGTTCACATAATATTATTAATAATAATAGTATAGTATTGCAGGTCCGAGAGGCGACGAGAAAAAGTATTAAAATAAAATAGTATATTATTATAATCAACAGAGAAGTAAAAACAATTAATATAGAAATTGTATATATATGAATATATATATATATATATATAAATATATAAATAATAATTATAATATTAACACGGAAACATAATAATATAATAATATATTAATTCGAAGATATAATACGCGTATAGTCGACAATGGTCACCGTCAGGTCACGATCACGGTTATTGGRGACTGGTCGATCTCGGTCAGGTTAGATATTTTTATGTCGTTTGTGACGGGAATGCACTTGGCGGTGCCACTGACTTCTGCGTTGTGATTCAATTCCATCGCCTTCGTTATGATTTTCGTGTTGTCGTCGCACAGCACCGGGTTWCCTGTTGAAGTGAATTTTTTAATAATATTATTGTTGATAAGAACTAAACACGATAAGCAGACAGATTCATTCAAAAACGCCGCAATCGTCTCGGAAATATATCAACTATGAACTGTATTATTATGACRAAAAACTAAAATTCTTTTGTATTCTCATTACTCGCTTACAATATTAATTGTCGTTATACTTATATAAGTTTAACGCCACACCACTTTTGTCGTCCTAATTTTAAATACTATTTTGATTAACTACGGGTTCGATGGTTACATCATTAAAAACCTATAAAAGTATAAACATATTATTGTGACTGACTGCAATATTCTATATATCAAGATATTTTTGAAAACAATTTAAATTKATGAGTCCTTTTATCTGCAGGTATAATATCGGCTCATGACACCCGAGTTCAGCGTCAACAAACTCGCATTTTGATAAAAAAATATTTATTATCAATAGCAAATTGTTACCAACTTACCTTCCAAATAAATTCTCAACGTGCTGTTCACTCCGTGCAATTTGCATTGGGTCATTTCAACCAGCTCTTCCTGGATGGTMATTATGCTGTTAAACTCGAGATCAGCATGGCAAAGAACGGGATATCCTTGGAAATCTTTCGACAACCCGGTTAAAACGTTGTACGATGCTACTAACGTCTCGAGAGCCGGCAAATGAATCTGCAAGACGAAAATAAATATAGTAGATACGTTTACAGAAAAATTATAAAGCTACTACTGCTACTAGCGATAATATATTATATATTATATAATATTTGATAGTTTTACGATAGTTTATGACGTCCGTCGAACTATTACCTGAGACGAGTCTGGAAGTATGTGCAATAGATTGTGAGATACATCTAGGATTTTTAAATTTAATCCGGTCAGATCGTACGGCGATATTTCAGTGAATTTGTTATGACTGATATTCAGTTTGACAAGTGTTTTTATACCAATCAACGATCCACCAAGCGACTCCAACTCATTGTGATCCAACTTCAAGTGTTCGATTCCAGTCACTGGTTCGCTTATAATCTAGAGAAAAGTATAAAAACCAAATATTATTATTCAATATTCCTAAACTGTACTGCATACGAGTATACTCCGCATAGTCACATGTTCACTGTGTTACAAGTAGTTACCTATTATATATTTCATTATATTACCTCAGAGTGGCCACTGAGTTTGGAAATCGTATTGTGTGACAAATCAACCAACTTGAGTTCCTTCAATCCCTTGATTTCAACCAACGAGAATTCGGCAATTTTATTGTATGACAAATTAATCTCGGATAATTGAGTAAGTGGCAACAGCGATTTGTTCAAGTGTTTGATGCAGTTGTTGCTCAGTTCTAACACTTCGATCATAGATGCTTCTTCGAATTCATCGGACGCCAACTACGAACATTAATAAATTAAAAAACAATCTATTATATATATATATATATATCAAATACTTGTCAACCTACAACTGCGTTTGTGGAAACCAGATACAATATTATATTGGAATAAGTAGGGCTAAAATTGTAAGATGTCTAAATTCCTAAATTAGTTCGAWAAAAACTATTATAATAGGTAAGTCACTTCTTTTTTGTATTTTTGTATAATAGATTATAGGAATATACTATATTTGTATCGAATAATYCTGCATTGTGTAAATTAGTGGTTTTTTCAAAGTATTTTTTCTAAATAACAGCTACAGGTGGTTATTTTACAGGCGCACTAGTCGTTTTTTTTTTGGTTTTGGTAAAAACTTAAACGACTCAAGTAATTAACAAAATATTCAAAATGTCCATGGCCAATTATATTCATAAACAGGAATAGAGAACTATATATTTCCAATCATCTTTTTGGTGGATGTTAACTTTGTCCCCTCTCTGCCAATGATTTTCATCAAACTACACACGCATACCTCTTGTATCTTGTTGCCGGTGAGCTCAAGCCAAACCAATTTTTTCGACTTGGACAGTGTTTTGTTCAGACCGGTCAGCTGATTAAATGTGCAGTAAAAATACCTCAGCGCCTTGAGACAGTTGAGTTCTGGTGGCAAATGAGTTAACCTGTTCTTAGACACGTCCAAGACTATGAGTCTGTCGTTGTCGATTGGCAATTCTCCGTCGAGATTTTTTATCCGATTGTTGGATAAGTACAGCCATTCCAGTTCTTTTTGGTTTCTAACAAAATATACACAGATCATATCATACAAAATTGTTTTAGAAAAGAAATAAAAGAAATACTTCATAATATGAAGTGCTCGAAACTTTTGAACACATTATAAGTGATTATTATTATTTTCATTAGAATATAACATAAACTGTACACAAAATGTGTTCACGAATATAATAATAGCTACTAACAAAATACGATTTTCAATTAATTGTTTAATCGTATATACTATAGAATATGGGTTTTACGTGTGTTATTCATAACACGATTATTACTATACAATATTATAATATTAAATTATATCAAACGGACTTTGCTCTTATTGGTACGGTCGAAGACTATTAAAATTGATGCGATAGGTGAACAAAACAAGCTACGCTACACGCTAGCTATACCTATTATAATATGATAATATGTAACTTTCAAGAGCTCACGGTGCGATCAAACTTTCGAATTACTGCTGCAACGTAATTTACCTCAAATTTCCATTTAATTCCGTCAGGTTGTTGGCAGCCAATTGGACTTTCCTCAACGTCGTGGGGAACGATCCGTTAGTTATATCGGTCAAATTATTCGTGGCCATCACGAATGTGTTCATCAGCGATAGACTCTAAAAATAAATTCAAAACAAACGATCACATCAAAATATGCAATATATGTTTAATAATATACTATAGTCTTTAATAATAATTGATTCATATTTAACAGGTCGATCTAATTTTCAATGTCATTCTTTTGAAAAAAAAAGTTTTTATAATACATTTAGATTCTGAGCTGAACAATGAAGTAGGTATCTCATGTTTTAAATTTTAGATTTAGATATTTCCGATTTATGTGTGATAACATTTTGGTTTTTGAATATAATAAATTATGCTTAAAAATTTAATTAAAAAATAATAATTGTTGTTACCCCAATTAAACAATAAATTATAGAAAATATATGTCACAATTCGGMTTTTTATTTAGGTAAACATTAAAGTTCAACTTTTAACAAAATTCATCAAAATCGCGAAAATCGAAATTTTTCAAGTGTTAGTTTTTAATTGTTTTGAATTTTGAATTAAAAATAATTTTGAAAGTATAAGTAATTTGAACAGAATTTGAGTTTCAAATGATTATAATAAAAAAAATGGTGTAAGAATGAATAATTTATGTGGGATCTTATATTACATTTTCAAGCTCAAAAATTGACATAGGATCAATTGTTTAAACGACATAATATTATCTTATAAAAAAATWAAAAAAATATCAAATATTTAAAATGTTGTTAAATAGCTTAAAAATATACCTATACATATATTGCTAATATAAACATTTGTTGAATATTCGTTTTTGAATTTCGTATCAAAATTACCAAATCGATTTTATAAAAAATGTGTGAATTCCCGTTTTTACTGTGCAAGAGTATTTCCCGATTTTCGAGTACAGTACACGTCATAACACGTAAACTCTAATGTCATTGAGATTTGAGACTATTAATTACGCAAGATATTTATGATGATAGACGTTAGAATAGTTATTATAATTATTATTAATTATTATTACAATATTTGTTTTTTTTTTTACTATAATAATGCAACATCGTACAATAACGAAAATTATGATTTCACATTTACAATGTTTTTATCGCGAGTCTGTCGACGGACGTTGTGTTTAATCGCCGCAGGGTGAAGGATTGCAGCTCGCGTCACTTCCGGTTCGATACACGCATTCTCGGTTCTCCTATACAATAGATGAGCCGAGCCCGCCCGGAAAACGCGACTGTACATAATATATTATTAGTATAAAACCATAATAGTATTAAAATAATAAAATATAATTTACCTAATAACTATAATTAATATTATGAAATAATAAGCGACGRCTATAGACAAAACATGCTTTTTTACGCGTAACCACTATATATGTACCTATTGTACCTATATCGTGTGTCCAAAAAATTAGAATACACTCTATAGCTCAGTTAGGTACTTCTATTTCTCAGTACCATATAAATGTTTTTGAATTGTGTTTACGAAATACGAGAATCAAGAGACTAAACTGTTTATAAATTCCTGTAACTTAGGTACAATGTCGTCCAAATCTTGGGTTTTGAGCATGCGCATACGCCTTTTCCGAATACTCAATTTTCGTCAACACGTGGTATATTTATGTTATATACACCTACGTAATATTATGCGTTTGATAGTCTGGTGATGTAATATACTACGTACTTGGAAGTCTCCGGATGCAACGCTGTGTATGGAGTTTCTGGCCAAGTCCAACACCTCAATACTGGGCATGTGCTTGAATATCTGAGTGGGCACCGCACAGAGCCTGTTGTCCGACAAGTACAGGATCCGTATTCTGTTCATACCGATGAAAGCCTCGTCCGGTAGCGTGCTACAAAGTGTAACAAAGTCACAAGTCATACATAACAATTATTAAATACGTAATTTTACGATGACTTTAATATGATAAATTGATATTTAATATCCAGTGGTGCAACTAAAGCATTATTTCGGAGGGTAACGTTGTTTCAATATCATATAATACATGTATACATCATAAGATATAACATGCTGGGGCAACCTAAACACAAGATTTCGTGGTGACAAGTAATAACCTCCAAACATCACCTTCCCGGGTACACCACTGGAGTAATATCCTTATATCGTCACCATCACCAGCAATGGTGAATTAATAATCGTAACGAGTGGATTGATGGAASCTCTGATACCAAACTTTACGGTGTTTTAATTATCACTTTGAGTCTCTTTATAACTTTTTGCTCAGATGAAACTCTGTGTTTGCAGTTTACGTGGACGAAATCTACGATATTTAGGTACGAAACGTCGATATAGAACTCTATTGTACTCGGCGTGTAAAACAAAATTCACCGTAAAAACAACGGTTTCCTTCGTAAAACAATACATACCGTTTAAATATCAAAATATCATAACTAGATTTTTTTGATCTAGAAAATATACAACCTCGGGGAAATATATGAATCAAGCATTATAGTGTTGTTATATAGCTATAATATGGTCTATAATTCTATAATATATGATAACAACATTATAAACACATACCTAACCTTTACATTTACGCAACTCTCGCATATATTTGGTTTGCCGGAGCAATATTTATCTCGATAAAAATCCGATCGAACGTAATATTGTAATAATTATATAAAATATTACATGTCGTGTATGGCCGCATTGAAACAGTRCAGATGTTATTGTTTTTACGAAACTAAAATAGATAATACATGATTCCGATCGTCATAGAGAATACCCTAACGCGTCGTTAATTTACCCATATATACACAGTTATATCATAAAAAAAATGATCATGAATTAAAAAATTCAACGTAGTAAACAGACAAACAATCTATATTGTATAATATTATGTAACGGCGCGACTTGCTCGTCAATAATATTCGAACGGTGACGAAAACCAAAGTATCTACTTAATTAGATTTTTATTCGTTAAGTATTACGAGTTTAAACGATTGATCAATGATGAAGTTATTTGCAAGCAAATATGAATTTAATGATTTCAATTTATTTAATGATCGCAGCTGCAGTATCTGCTTGCTAATATTGAGTGCAAAAAATYAAACACAAACGTTTTCTGTTCGACAATAAGTTATTCTATCATATTTTAGAATCTTATATACATTAAAAACAGGTRTACCATTATGATTAATCAAAWGTATGTTCCTTTGGTTTCAGASTCTCGCAATTGCGTGTACGGGTTTAGTACCGTGAAAATCAATTTCATCAAAGAGCCTACCCAACCAAYGACTTTTACCTACGACCCACGTGCGTTTCATGATGGAGAGATAGAGAACAGTTCGCCTGACATAGCTATAAATGTTTTCCAGGGGGTTTACTATCGCTAAGAAATCTGATATACCAACTACGTCGACTGCGATCGAGTTCAGCTAAATTATAGAATATTATAGAATATCAAACGAGCTTATGGAAATAGGACTAGATGATTTGTGAAATGATATTATATACAATATAATTATAAAGGGTCCATAAAATCTATTACCGAGATGTTTATACCCACTAATTATTGTTTTCAATAAACATCTTTGACAAAATTTTGGAAATTAATTATTATTTATTTTAGATTTTATAAACAAATATTTAGTCTAGTTTTTTGAATGAATACTTTAAAATTCAAAATACCGATCTTCAATAAGACGTACTCTATGGTTACACATGCTGACTCAAGCATTTATACAAATACATTTTTGGACTACTCAAATTCTAACTTTCGTTATTCATCTACCTACATCCTCTATCTTTCTTACATTTACACTAGGATTAAAATCTTAAACTCGTGTACTCTAGCGGGCTACCCATCCGCGTATAAACGTTACAGGGTGAAGCGATATTTTTAAAGTGTATATTTTTTTCGACGATTTTGGTTTTATCTTTGACTATTCCTTTTAAAAGGGTATCATAATATATCAGACGATTTCTGGAAAAAAATATTGAAAATAAATAAATTTAGATAGGGAACAAAATATTGTGGGTATTATAAAATATRCATCAATGGCCTATAATACGTCAACCATTTGTATTTCACTATTGAGTTGTTTTAAATTTTTAGTGTTTGAATTTTAATTTTTTTATCTAAACTGATTGAAAATATACATATTATTACTTATCTGCTAAAATTGTATGTAATTAAACTCATGAAAAGTGAAAATTGTTTTTCTTTTGAGTTATTAATAATGTGTTAAGTTTTAATGGCACTAGGTAATACAGATTTACTATATTACGTTAATTCAGTAAACTTAAAAAAGTTTGAGCATGAAAATTGGAAATAGCTCACCAAATACCCACGTCATATATACCCAAAGGACAAATATCGTCTTCGTTGAAAATACGAGTAGCAGGGAATGTCTGGAGGATTCGACGCGATCTCTCGTGTTGTTAAATTATTTTAGTCGAATCCTCCAATCCGAATAKCGAGCAGCGAGTGCTGCAGCAGAGTGTACTATGTTCATGGTTTGTGTTTTGTGCCTCGAGAAAGAAATTTATCATGTGATTGATTACCGTTTGGAATAAGCGCAATACTGCAGCTAACAACTTACTGCAAAATCGATAATTTTATGCTAATAAAATATACCTATCATTCTAGCAGAAAACAAAATAAAGTTTCTGTTCATCTTTGCAGTGATGATTTATAATGTTGTAAAACATATCATAATATAATATATAATGCTGTAAAATTTCACGTGCTCCGTGGAGGTACTGCACCGCCATCACCACACCCTTAATCCACACCTACGTAAATCGACCTATTATGAAACTTGATGGTAAGAACATTATCTGTGTTTGTACGTTGGTTTTTTACGACAATTCGATTTTTAAGTGAGTTATGAGCATTTTTAATGTACAGTGTATTATATGCTCATAAAGTCATAACTCGCTTAAAAATTGAATTACCGTAAAAAACCAACGTACAAACACAGATAATGTACTTGCCAGTTACCGTACACTTTCATAATAGGTCGATTCACTGTAATTTTTAAACTAAAGGAGCTACAAGTGTTCTGCTGAGCGTAAATTTGCTATACTACGCACTGGTAAGACGGAGACAACAAATACCACTGTTACGTACTCTTAAATCACATCGCGATTTTTAGTATAGTATAACTATATAATAATAATTATTATACTGATGTATCATTGTTATAATTGCATTATATAATAATATACATGTCACGATAAAGCACTCACCTGAGATTGTTTTTGGTGAGCTTGAGGTCGACGATCGGGAAGCCCAGCTCGTTGAACCGCCTGGTGTCCAAGTCGTGGAGCTCCGAGTACTCGATGTTGAGCACGTAGTCGAACACCGCGTCGAACTTGTTCTGGAGCGCGCCGATGACGCTCTCGAACGACACCATCTTCTGGCAGATGACCATGATCTTGGGCCGGACCATGCCGGTGAAGTAGCTGCACGTGCACGGCGATATGCTCCGTCGCACCGAACAGTGGAGCGGCGTGTCTTCCAGTATGTACGAGCCGCAGACGCCGGTCATGGCGAACGTGGACACGGCCGTCACGAAGAACAGGCGCGACCAGTTCATGATCGCGGTGGCGGTGCACTTATGGGTTCGTGTCCGGTTCCGGTGCGGGTTCCGCCGGGACGACGACCGTACTGTCCCGTGGACGAGTGTAAAAATAGATATTAACTATCGTCGTAATAATAAAATATTGTCGTGGTCCGGTTCGCGCTCGTCTTGGACGCGTAGTGTGACGACTGACGGACTGGTGCTGCGGCGGCTACGATTATTATTATTACACCGCTCCCTGCATCCCTGCAACAACGACCGTGGCCGCGCGACTGTTAATAATAATTCAACGATATTAATGAATATTACGATGTTTGATATATGCGTGTATGTGTATAGGACGACGATACGGAAACACGGTAGGTATGCATGCGGCGATCGAGAAGTGTTTTTTTTTTTTCCGATTTAAATTCGAATTGATCGATTTGACACTAGGCGACGTTCGGAGGGCGGAAGGATGGGGGTCAAACAATTTATAATATTACGATAATATTACTATTGCACACACGCGAAGCGGGCGTCGCAACTCGCTCGTTACGCGAACGGCAACTATACTACGGTCGTGTGCAATGTATAATAATATAATCGACAATCATCGTTAGTATAATCAGCGCTCGTATAGTACACRCTACTGTTGTAGGTGTGTGTGTGTCTGTGTGCGCGCGTGTATGTTTGGGTGATCGTGAGGGGGGATATGGTAGTCCCCTCCGCGATCAATTTTATTCCGTACGCGTTAACTTTGAATCGGTGCGGCTTTTGGCACCGAAAGTGGACATTTATTAAATAAATTGTATTCATTTTTTTTTTTTTT